TTATACATATATATTATTATATTTTATATTTATATATATTATTACATTATTATATTATTATAAATATATATATATATATATATATATATATTGAGTATGTATATTAGAGTTATATATCTATTTGCTTACATTTTTCAGGAGTCTTCACGGAGCTCATCACCGATGTCGGGGTGAAGGGAGTGCAGGTCGAGGAGTTGTACAGCATCGATGAGGGATCCCTTGCTGAATTAGAGTAGGTTTTTTGAATCCTAATCTGTACATCAATTGAATGCGTCTTATGCAAGACGGTTGTCAACGTATATGAACCGTTGTCTACGGAAGCTGCCCTGAGTGTCTGTTCTGTATTGAAAGGCACTTGTCATATTCGTTTCTAGTATGCTCGTGTACCTCTTGCGCTGCAAGCCCCTCGATAAGCTCTGTTTCATCACTATGTTCAATCTAGGGTACTATGATCCTTTAAAATAATAAAATGGACTTTATGTGTGGATTTGGTGAGTGACATTGATGGCACTCCCATGTTGCGAGTCTCATCACGGTGTGTTTCAATTTAGATTCGTCGATTCGTATACAACAGGCAGATGTAGTATTTAGTAATCAGCACTACCCATCTGCTTGTGCAAAGCTAGAAATGAACTCTTGCTGCGTACCAATATAAAGCCCAAAAATTGGATTTTGTACATCGCATGACCGCGAACAATCCATGTCTGACATCATGTGGACAAACTAGGTTTGACCTAGGAGCGAATGTTGCAAAATATTTGCTCGAGTTGTACAAAGATCCACTGGAAACTGTAGATATATCGGGAAGACACCAATCATTCGTGGACGAGCCGGAGGTTTTCCGGTGTGACCCACAGAAGCTTCATGTACATTACCGCAATGATGCATTAGCTCATTTACAACAATTTGATATCATTACCGAACGTAGGCCGATTAAGGGGTTGATTTTTCTGTTCAAATGGACACAGGACCCGGAACCGCGCGAAACCGTTGCAGAAATACCAGAGGATCTTTTCTTTGCCCATCAGGTCTGTGTCACATAAAAACAGACAAGTTGAACTGTAGAAAGCAACTGTATGGTGAAAATCGAATGTGCATTTTGGGAGTATCAATTTCTCTACCACTCTGCTCGCTCACTGCTCTTTTTTTCTTCACTATTTGGTTGGCGAAGATTACAGAGAATGCTTGTGCTACACAAGCCATCCTTAGCATAATCCTGAATTGTCCGGACATTGAGCTCGGACCTACTTTGACCGACTTCAAAACATTCACAAAGGATTTCGATTCTAAGGTAAAAAAAAAGTCGTTTTAATTCAACTCGATTTCATTGTTTCGAACGCCTTTGATACTCGCAGATTTTCCCCTAGTGATCTCGATTGTTAACGTTACGTCAAACCATGCTTTGCCAGTTACACTAGCTATAAGCTGTGAATGGGTTGTATCTTCAGCCTCGCTCCAGGGTAGTATTTTTTACTCATGCACGTATCCTCTCGCGCTACCCGACCTATTGCCTGTTTGCATATAGCTGAAAGGCGAAGCTATTGGTCACACAGAGAGCATCCGTAAAGTCCACAACAGTTTCGCGAGGTAAGAGAGCAAGGCAGAGTAAGTGTAGCAACTTTTGTGGTCACAAAGGAGAGCTGACTCCTTATCTGATCGCGCGTATTTATTTGCAATACTGTGTACTTACCTGTGCTTCTGTGATGCCGCCAATCTGCTACTACACGCTTACTTGGGAGCGAGATTTTAAGACTCCATGTTCGTCTGACCCGGGTCACTTTTGGCTTTCGACCTATCTGACAGACCTGAGCTTTACGACATGATGGACAAGTCCAAGCCAAGGTACGGCACCGAAGATGCGTTCCATTTCATTAGCTATATCCCTTTTAACGGTCGCGTTTATGAGTTGGATGGTCTCAGAAAAGGCCCTATAGACCTAGGTGAGTTTTCATTGATTCTCGACGTCAGTGCGATGTAGATTTTTTGATATTTTTGTACGGCATTGACATTGCACTCCAGCGATCAATGATTCGATATCTGCTTAAATTTATACAATTCCAGATACCTGCTCTTGTTAGTCCATGAAATAAAAGCCGCAAGATGCTGTCAAGGAATGTCCGACAACACGGGATGGAAAAGTAGCTCGGTTAAACGCGTTGTCACTATCGTCGCCATATGACGCAGTGACAAGCGGACATTCTACTAATATCATGGACCAATCAATTGGATTGACTTTGATATTCTTTGTACGCAAATGTAGGAGCTGCCGCAGAAGATTGGCTGGCTGTCGCCCGTAGTGCCATACAAAAGCGGATAGAGGCCCTACATGGAGAGATACGATTTAATTTGGTATGCGATATGTGACACCTGCAAATAAGGTGTGAAGCTTATTCGACGAGTTTGTGACAATACCTGAATGCTCACTTGTGATTTCGGATAGTGCTGATTACTACTGGCGTGAACTTTTTTACTTCACTGAATTGGTTGCGTACCTCTTGCCGATAACATGAATGTTGATGTTACAGTTTCCTACCTGCGCAGATGGCTGTTGTGAAAGATCGGCGTAAAATTTTAAGCGAACAATTGACCGAATTACTGAAAACTGGAATCAACGACGATAGTTATTTAGTCAGTGAACTAACGGCTAAACTGTATAGTGAAGAAAAGAAGTTCGAAAGATATTCGGTATGATTACTTCACTCTGATGTACCTTAGATATTCTTGACACAGTGTTCTAGCCCAGGATGTATGCTATATATGTATAGTATGTGTGCGTGAATTCTAATGGTGTAATCACTGAGTCATTGTGCCGCACGCGCTGTCACGCAGTACAGGCACGCAAGCATACTGTCGAGACCATGATCAATTCATTTGTCATGCAAGCCTTCAGCAAGCTCTCCTGCGGTACATGTGAGATATAATTGAGCATGTCCCAAGGTAATACGTGATATACGCTCCTATTATCATCAATCGAGTGGGAATCATTACCGTACTTCCGTCAATATTAAGTGCGTCGCAGTTTTCTCGACACCACGTGTTTCTTAACGATCACCCATGCACTCAGAGGACACAACCCGTACTCTTGCTATGTTCTCTTTTCTTTTCGACACAGAGGGAGAACTCTTATAGGAAGCACAACTTTGTGCCGTTCTTTATTAATTCGCTGCGCCTCCTCGCACAACGCGGTGAGCTGGAGGGATTAGTTGCTGCTGCAAAGGATAAAGCCAACCGTAGAGCCAAAGATAATTTACAATAAACGATGAAGCACTTTGAACGAAATATATTTGTACCACACCTCCCACTTCGTGCGAATTTGTCAAGCTAATTCCGTCTGCGCTTCATCGGACCAGTCATTGTATGGGTCAGCGTGTATTTTTTTTAAGAATTTTATATACAAGTAGCGACCGATGTTGTCGTCGTGCACGCATTTCTTACCAGATAAACTGTCTATTCACCAGTCTCCGATCCTTCGAAACAAACCTTAATCGTTCAAGAAAATTGTAGAACGCTAGAATTGTTGCAATCGGTGTACCAACGAATGCGAAATGGACTATCTGTGGAAAGTAACGAATACCCATCTGCGGTAGCGCATTTCTGTATTTATCTGAGTTGAAGCTAATACAGATTGTGACTGGGCTTTTAAGCGAGGAATCACATCAACTTTATTATGTTGACGATATAGCGAAAGATACTCGAAAAGGCTGTGGAAAATATACACAAAGTCGTTGCAGGGTTCCAACAGATTGTCACTATTGATCGAAATAGCATGCTCCAATTGTTTTCTTGAGATACTCTGTGGGTTTCTCATATGTATCTTAATCACGGCACGACGATATAAGAGAAATGCATATATATCTTATTCACAGCAAGATATCATGAGAAAAACATATATACATATATATATA